AACTGCTTGTCACCTGCCAATCAACCGATGCCCAGCCTGTCCCTAAGCAGTGATCGCTGCCCCCCAGCCAACTCCCCTTAGTTTATATACTGACCATGATGTCATATTGTATGAAATATCCCTTTGGCCAGTTTGGGTCAGCTGTCCTAGCTGTATTCACTCTCCTCACTGGCAGAGCATGGGAACCTGGAAAGTCTTTGACTTAGTATAAGCACTGCTTAGCAACAACTGAAACATCAGTGTGTTATCACATTAATCTCATGCTATGTCCAGAACACAGCACTATACCAGCTACTAGGAGGAACATTAACTCTGTCCCAGCTGAAACCAGGACATAAAGTGTGGAAAGGGAACTGATCCTTTGGCAGGGTAGGAATGGGGGTCTCGGCGGGCTGCCTTCCCTGTGGCATTACGCAGGCGGCATCTGCAGCACGTTTTTGAGACTTCTTGGGGCTGATGAGTTTCAAAAGATACAAGGCCATGAAAAAAAAGTGTGAGTTTCTGTTTGTGTAAGTTTAATGAGCCCTTACAAAAGGTTCAGTGCTTAGACTCTGACCTGTTTCACTTCAAGTGTCGGGTATGTTTGAACTTTAAGTGAAACATTAGCTAACACATGTCTGGATTTTTTCCTTCAAGAGGCCCTAAGTCTCCAAGTATTTTCTGGGATATGAGTCCTTTACTCAGGTTTTTCATGACTAGATTTTGACAACTTTTGGCTGTGACACTTTTCATGTCTTAAAGCAACTAGCAAGGCTGGATTCAGCCCATCGAGTGAGGGGGAGAATGTGTCTGTATCCCCTAGAGCTAGCTGCCCTCCTGGGAGAGGACTTAAAGTTTAAGGGTCACATTTACTAGAATGAACTGCTAGCAAGTGGAGATGTTCTGCTGTCTACTATGGGGAAATGAGGGGGAGTGCATGTTAAATCTCAAATTAGTGCACTTGAGGAAAAAGAATGGATAACAAGCTAGTTGTTTCTCCCCTGCCTCCTTTTTTTGTGACCCCCTTTAAAATTAAATAGGGAAGATGAAGTGCTGGAAGCTAAACTTGCTTACCTCAAGTGAAAAAGGGAAAATGGACTGAAATCGCTATATTACAAGTAAAATTGTGTTGAGGTGAGTACCCTCAAATAGTAGGATTTCTTTTTTTCCGACTGCAAAATTTGGAGGATTTCATCAAAAGAAACAATTGTACAGTGAAGCTGATTAGACACAGCTGTCAAATCCATGAAGTAAGCACTTTGAATGAAAAATTATCTTTTTTTTTTCATTTTGCTTATGTGTTTGGAGAAGAAAGGAGCTTACTAGTTGGTATGGTGGAATGGATAAGACACACAACTATACATTTCCGTATTTTGGTTGTTACCTATTACAAATTCACTAAATCTAAAAGATGCTGCTGGACATTGTCCACCTCCGCTCCATCCCTGTGTGTATGAATGTTTTGGCAGAGTCTTCTGTAAACAGGATGTGAAGCTGTCGTAGCCCTGTTTGACTGCAGTTGTCGGCATTTTGGAAAGTGTGTGGACAAATTTTAGCTGCCTGTATCGCGTGTGTACACGTGCACAACCTTCCTCGTTTCTTCTCCTGACATGCTATTAATTTAATCTCTTTGAACTTGATCCCAAAGACCAAATACTCTGGATTAAACACAGCATGTAATACTGCCTTTTGTCTTTTACCATTACTGTGTTGCTTTTCGTGTGATGTTAATCTCGAATTATTTGGAATACCATTGAAGCTGACTGGTTACTCTGTGTTTCTTGGTAGTGCTATATGAACAATGCATTAATGATGCCTTACTACGCATATTATTCTGGTTTTGAAAAAACAAGCATTGTTCTGATGCAGAGTTGAGACACAGACCTTGGTATATAAACTCTCCTGAAAGGGGGAGACACTTGAGTGGAGAATTCTAAATGGGATGCTTGAACGGCCTTTTCCCAAGTAAATAAATACTGCCTCTTACTTAGTTTCAAGAAACATGGCACACAGCTGCTCTTTACTCTGTGTTGTAAAATAATGGGCCGTTTGCTGACTGAAGCAAACTATTGGCATTATTGCTAGCAGCTGCTGAACTTTTAGTGTTAACTTAAACAGCTCATAAATGCTAATCACGTTGCAGTTTTGCTAGAGCTTCTCTGCATATCCCAGAGGTACTAGCTCATGTCACACTTTTTTTTTTTTTTTTTTTTTTTTCTTCACATGAACTGATGACATTTCTTAGCGGAGATTCCAAATAGTAACTTCATAACTCAGTAGTTTTACTGCGGTGGCTGAAGTTTCTTCAAAACTGCCCTTCTAACTACAGCTTCGCTAGTACTAGTGCAGCTTTATTTAGATGTGTTTCAGTAGGCTCAAAGCTGCTGAGCATGCGGTGGAATGAGTACATGGTTGAAGGGAATATGCTATCTGCTTCCTGACCTGTTTGGAGATCTGTGGCAAAGTCAAATCCAAAATCTAGCCTGAACAAAATCTGTTCAGTTTATCCTGTGCTTCGGTTTAAAGTCACTTCCATATTGTAATGGTTTTGCTGCTATACAAGTGTGAAAAGTTTACGGGAAATGTAAGGGTTGCCATAGAAATATGTGTTATCTGCATAATAAGCAATTAAATAATGTGCTGTGGCCTTTTAACAGTCCCTCCCACTCTTCAGCAGTGGGAATGTGTTCTTATAAAACAAGACAAAGCTCCCAAACAAACTAATCCTTTCCTTCCTTCAGGTCAGATTTTACTAGTGTTCTCTGTAGAAAACACTGGTAAGGTCCCAGAACCTGTTTTTAAGCCTGTCAAAACGATTGTAAATATAGCACTGAAGAAAGCATAGATAATAAAGTAAAAGCTGCTGTATTATTGTAGGAGTTTAACTTTTTGATTTTAATCATAGTGAAGGTCAGAAAGAGGACAGTGTTGTTGCTAGTGCATGCCACATAAAGAAATTATGCTTACTGCATCTAAAATCTGTTCTCTCATCCTTACTTTTATGTGAGCATCCAGTGGAACTTTTTCTCTCTAGGGCAGTGGTACATGTGTACCAGAACTGCACTTCATGCCTAGAGGCTGTACTCCTTACCACACTTATAAAAATTGCAGTTAGCCTAGTTTCTGGTATCAGCCTGTGAACACAGGTTAACCTAATGACAATGCGGCTGTTCCTGTACAAAGCTATATACTCTCTGCTGTGTATTTGGATGGTGCTTTGGTTTGTGCATGTATGCTGTTCCTCTTCAGGGTTCTCTCTTGGCTGCTTGCAGGGGAATTTCTGTTCCTGAAGAGATGTGCAGGACAGGGACAAGTACTGTGGACTGATGCTAAACAGATCCTATCCTGAAAGGTGGGAGGTCCCAACTTGAGCTGGAACCTCTTGGGCTTTACAAGATAGACTTCATGTGAGGAAGTACGGTTTAGAGTGTGGAAGGTCATAAATAGGTCTGGTCTCTTGTGGTTGTTAAAGTATCAAACCAAAGATATGTAAGGCTAACACTACAGCACACAGAAATCTGTGGGCAAGGGTTTGATCTTAAAACATGCAGTCATCTTATTTCCAAGGACAGGAGTAAATGTCGCTGCTCTTCAAGTCGGTGGATGTGAGAATTTCTTCCTGGAGTTGCCCCTAAAAGCCCGGAGAAGGATTGGATAGTACACAATCTAGTAGTTTTTGGTTAGAAATGAAACAGAAAACTCTCTGGGAAAGTAGAGGGGACTCCAGATTGTGTGTGTGGTTAAATTATAATTGCATGACTGATGTTTTGGGAAAGGTGTAATTGTAAAAACAACTTTGGATTTTTTAAAAACTTTTGAGCTCACTTATTTGTAAAGAAAGTGGTGTAGTTCGTTACAGATAGCATGGCCATCCAACTATCAGTGCTGGTCACATCTTTTTCAGTAGATTTCTAGTTGTTTTGTTTGGTGGTTTTTTTTTATCTCCTCCAAAAGGTTCACCTAAAAATTCTGATGTTACCCTTTAATTCTGTCTCATCTACATGCATGTCTCATCTACATGCTTGTCTCATGCAGCAGATTGAGACAGCTTGCTGATATCAGATACAACTTCAAATATTCAGAGTGGTACTTAAATGGAGGGGTGGGGAGGAACCACCCCAAACTGATTTAATATCTCAGTGATGACTGTATGTGCCTTGGTTTGAGTCTGAAAGTAACTTTCTTGTGCTGCATTCTTAAACTGTCAGAACAGAAGCATACTCAAATAACTTGAGTTTAAGAAATGGGTTAAGAAAATGGTGGCCTGAATTTTGGTTCTTGTCAAAATACCTTACTATGGCTGCACTCTAAATTTAAACTTGGGGGGGTTTTGACCCCATGCATATATTTGGGCTTTGTGAATTGGATGCTGATGAAAAGCATAAATGACTTGATGAAAGTTGTCTGACACAGAGACCTGTGTACCTGACAAATCTTGGCTAATGCTATAGTTCTAAGGCTGACCTCAGAGATCAATCTCTGGACCAAAAAATGAAATGAATGGAGAAATTAGTTCTCCTGAGTAAGAAGCTTTCCTTGTTTGTTTGATAATTCTGTAACTCTACTGAAAGTCTGAATGAATGACCTAAATGTTGTTCCAAATCTCTGAATGTTCCAAGTCTCTGAGCAAAGGAATAAAGTAATCTTAAACATGAAGTCCTGCATTCAAGGATTTGACTTTGATTTGTAGAAGATTTCAAGAAAGCAATAGTTAAAAGAACTGGCAGAACTTAGAAGCAGTGTGTGGTGTACACTTTGAAACCCAAATAGGCTAGTGAACTGCCAAAGAAGTGCTTGCCTATCCAGGTAGGGAGGTACATCACCAGTACTATCTTTCGTATTACTTGTGTGACTTGTAAGTAGGAAGAGTCACTCAAGTTTATTAGGGAGTAATGTGTGTTAGTAGATAATTCATGTGGGGAGAAGGAAGGTGCTGAAGAACTGAAATATTAAAAGGTGCAAAAGAAAGGTTGTCAAAAGTACTAACCACTTTTTTCTTTTTTTTCTTTTTTCACTTGCAGACCTTCCAAGTGCTGACCTTCTCGGTCTATTAAGTTATTATAAACTTTTGCTGCTCTGCGAACATATAAAGATGTCTCGCAGCCCTGATGCTAAGGAAGACCCTGTGGAATGCCCCCTTTGCATGGAACCTCTGGAAATTGATGACATCAACTTCTTCCCTTGCACCTGTGGCTACCAAATCTGTCGTTTCTGTTGGCATCGTATCCGCACTGATGAGAATGGACTTTGTCCTGCTTGCAGAAAGGTAAATATCCTGGAACAGCGGCTTGTCTTGCACATATCACAAGGCTCTTGCATTGTGTTGGTACCAAAGACATCGTTTTCCTTCGGGGAAACATTCATCTAGTCATGGCCTAGATCAAGGGTGAGGTGTTGGATCTTTCAGAATCTGTCTGCATATGTCAAAGCTGTTGTGCAACGGCTAGTCTTGGTTTGTTAAATTCAGAACTGGATTAATAGGGGAAGCTGTGGATCAGAACCAAGGCATGCTGATGCTGGGAGAACTGCCAAAAAAAAAAATCCTTGAGTTGGGGTGCTCATGCATTGACAAAATCTTTTCAGGAAGGACAGTGATGATTCCAGCATCAGGGCTTTGCTGAGGGCCAAGGTTCAGCTAAACTAGCAGAGCTGTCTGAAGCAAGCTTATAAAGTACCTGCTTGTTTTGTTTGTGGCACTGGAGCTTTTAATCCATATTCTTCTGGACACTAAACATGTAAAACCTTTGGAAAATATATCCAATGGTGTTAGACTTCAAAGCACTTCAAAATCTAGGCTAAGTCTATTTGTTTAGTATTCTGATCTTGTTGCCAAATGCTTAAAGGTAGTACTCTGAGAGTCACACTTAATTTCTCCCTGTCTCCTAATTGATGTCTGGCTGATACCTTGGTTGGCCACAACTATAAACTTCAGCTTCGCTAAGTTGCCTGCTTTTTCCTTTGAATGATTTTCCTTGTCCTTTTAGTGTTCTGCTTAACCTCATTATTTCCTTATCTTCAGTGTTTAATAGAATTCCTTCTCAATATCTTCTTCTCTTTAATGACTTCCCTTGATTGTAACTTTCTTGCCTGGCCTTCCTCTTTTTGTAATAGCAGCTACTTATGTTCCCTCTTTCTCCTGCTATTTAATTGTGATCCTATCCTCAGTTTATGCCTTTGTTGGCTTCCTGTCTCATATTACAGCTCCCTTTTCGGACCCCAAGTAATCTCACTTGGTCTCACTGTCTTTATTCACTGCCACAGCTTTCTATAAGCACTTCCAGTCATATTTTCTTGCTGCTCTTTTGGGCTTTGGCTACACTAGAGCTATCACTGCTAACCTGTGTTTGGACGCCTCTGCGAGCCTGAAGGCTATTCCACAGCAACATGTGTTTGTTAACAAATTGTGCAAATTTGCTGCGGTATTTGAGCTGTATGTTCTTCAAGGACTGCTGTAGAAGAAACATGCTCTATAGTAATTTTCATAGTACAAGCAAATTTCTGCTCTTCTGGTACAACATGAGATTTCTGGAATTTCCTTGTCTGTGTAAGTCACTTCATTTACCTGGATTTACTATGCTACTTCTTGCCAACAACTATTCGATTCATCTCTGCCTGTTCGTTACTGGAAGTTTGCGGAATATATCTGAAAAATCACAGAAGTAGCATGCTATTCACTGCCTCTGGGTATCTGAATTCTTTGAAATATGGATACTGCCACAGCTTAACTTTTATAACAGCATGGAATAATCTGGCATATGATTGGATGTGCAAATATTTTGCTGAAATGGATACAGTTTGCTCAGAAAAGGTTTTGGGAGAAAAGATAGAATGAGCGCTACAACTGGAATGAAGCACACCAACCGTTCCAGGAGAGGAAGGAGACCTTTTCTTTCACAATGGATGAGGATTATGTTCCTGATACTTTCTTCATCCATGGACTGCAAGATGTTCTTGGGTAGAGTTGCAGCTATATCCCTGGATTGTAGGAGATTTGCATGGCGGAGGCTTGAGGAGTACACTCCTTTTGTGGCATAGACAAAGGCGTCATGGCACAGAGACACTATCAGGATCTTGGGAATAAATAACTTCGAGCTACACAGTTGATGGCAGCATCAAATAAGTCTGAAGAAGCCACCTTTTGAAGTGCACTGGACCTTCTGAATCTGAAACAGGTATGTGGTTTTGTGTGCAGTGTGTCTAAATAGTTACCATCCCTGTGTAGTAAGGTTTCTAGGGAAAAGATGTAAGCAGTTTTTCTGCATGTCTACTATGGTGTGTATTGATTGTGATCACTTAAAATGTTGAAGTGCAGAAAACAGAAAAGCAACAACATTTTTGCAGGGAAGTTGTAGTAGGTACTATGGTTTCAACAGGTACGTCATGTTTATCATGTGTATACCAGTGCAGGATACTTAGTGTAAAGTGGACTGTGAATAAACATATATTAAAGCAAGGCTATGTGTTGTACACTTGCATAATAGAAAACTGCTATTTGTGCCAATAGTACTGAATGCAATACAAGTTATCCAGTGGTTTGATCACTAGTCTGTGGAGAGGAGGAATGAAGAAGTTCCCTATCCAGGGATTTTTGGTTGAAGGGTTTGAGGGAGGCTTCGGAAAAGTCTATGATAAAATAGTTTGGCTATACACTATAGTGGCATCTATGCCATTAGTTGGATAGATCTTAACTGCGTTGCATATATACCATTATTTTCCTCATCTTCTCTAATTTATTTCCGAGAAGATGTTAGCTGTGCAGTTTTTTCTACCAAGGAGAAAATAATTCTACATCCTTGAACTGTTATATAGTTTAAGATTTGCATGTGCAGAGTATGTTCACGTGGTTGCAGTCAATGGAGTTAGTGTGTCTTAAGTTTCCTCCTGTCAGTAGTAGGCAAACATTTGCTTCGTTTTGATTTGTGAAAGTAAGGTACTAGTATGAATTTAACTTGAATGCTGGTTGGAAGCTAGTACTCACTAGTCTTAACACATTAAAAGCTGTCTAAACTTTGTCTGAATCTTCTGAAATAGACTCGGAAATTGTTTCTGTTTAATTCATTAACTATAAAAAGTACTTCCTTAAAAAATAGAGCTGACCTGCTTTGAGTTCCTAATGCCCTTCAGAATTGTAGGTGTAGTCAATTGTAAGATGCTAAGCAAGCCTTCCTGTTTTTTCCAGTCAATTGGTTTCTTAACTGTGAGTGAAATAGCTGCTAACTGGTCAAATTAGAATGAAAATATGCTGTCCTCAAAAGAGACTTCTGTAGCCAAAAGCTGGTTTACAGGTCACCAGGCTTGCTGTTTCTGGTTGTAAAGCTGGTGATTTTTATCTTTGCAGTGATTTTTCTTTTTTTCTCTGAAATTCAGTGGCCTAGGTGCTGTTTGTCTTATGAATAATATGTACCGTCTTGCTTTAATAGACCATAGCACTCTCAGACCTTAGTGTCAGTTGTTGCAACTTTTAAATCTAACAGTAAAAAAGCCTAGCTCCTTCACATTTCTTAATTGCTTTGACCCTCCACCAAGTAATGTAACTCGATATACAGCTGCTCCTGTTGTATGTCTTTGCCTTGTTCTCCAGTTTTTGGACTTAGCGAATTTTATTCTTCCTAGAACTTTTTTAGAGATGGACAGAAGTAGTAAACTGTTATGTTTATGACCAAGAAACTAATACGTTTTAAGCATGTTTTTGTCCATGTTTCTCCTATCCTGCTTCTGTGTAAAAGGAACACCTAGTCTTAATGCACAGTCTCTGAATGTCAGTTATTTCCTCGGGTGCTTTTAATCCCACAACTGAGTAAATTTGGTGTGACAACTGATGTTTAGAAATATGTAGGAAATTGCTTTTCTTTTTATTCTTGACGTAATATTTATAATATGCATAAACCTTATTGACTTTCTCTGTATTTCTCATTTCAGAACCTATTTGGTAGCAAGGCAACAACTGGGAAATGTTGGTACATCCATTGTGTGGAAGGAATGTGACCATCTGGGAATGACAAAAGCAAAGTGCTTGATAAATCCCAGCTCAGCTTTCAACAATTGGGAAAATGTGGGGGAAAAAAGTCTGAAAGAAAACAAACCTTAAATGACAAGACAAACTTAGTCAGGAAGACTGAGAACTCCTCAAGGGCCACCTCTGATTAAAGAAACGAGACTACAGAAGAGACATTCGAACTTTTGATGAAGTTCTTGTAGGACTCCGGCAACTTGCAGTTAGCATAAACAAAATATGGTCATTTTCCATGTTGGCGCATCTTTTCAGGTGGCTTCCATGGTTTTTGCTGAAGAGGATTTGTATAACTTAAGTGGAGGGTGTCAGCTAAACTTAGTGAATCAATGATGTTGACATCCCTTAATGTCTTGCATCTGAAAATACATAAATGCTGATAACACTTGACGTAGCTACTTCACTTGGATCTCAAATCCTCCACCAGCTGAGGAATCAGTGATAGTAGGGTAAACAAGTGTCTTATGCTTCTTGTTTTTAAAAAAAAAAAAAGGCAGTCATGTCAGTAGCATTGCCACTTTAGCTGTTGCAAGACCTGAAAGCTTCTGGTACCTGTGGTCCTACCCCTATTTTGTAGGGCTGGACAGAGTAAATGACAGATTAAATGGTACTGTGAGAGACACCAGCAGTCAATCCACCTTGTTTGGCTTTCAGCACCATGTTCCACCAGCCTTCCCTGCATGTGTCCTGTCTGTAGTTGAACTATCATCTGAGTTTGTGAACTTCAGCACTGTGGGAAGCAATCACTCTGAAGATGAAATCATTTATTGTCCTATTTGTAGACTGACTTTATGTCATTGCTTGAAAGGAACAGCATTTCTAATACTATTTTTTAGAATTAGTTTCTGAAATGTTGGTGCTGTGCTTACTTGCCTTCCTCCCTCCTTAAATGCGCAATATATCTGTCATCATCCCACACATTATATATAGATAGGAAAATCATATATCACTTCTTAGGACTGGGTTTCTGATTTATTCTTGGGATTCAGGAGGTGAACACAGATTCATTTACAGGTCCTGCAAGTCAGGATATCCAACTACTCGTATTCCTTAGAAGCATTAAACATGTCGTAAGTGATAAACATACATATGAAACATTTCATACATTTCAGTACAGCTCTACAGTATCTATCGAGAACTTTTGATGATTCTGTAGCTCAAACAAGCACTGTTATCTATGGTGTCAAATCAACTGCTGTTACTCCTTAAAGACTGAAATCCTTATTCAGGCAGTCTCATACTTTCTGCTGAGATCTATCTTCCCCGATTCTGAAGCTGCTATTAAGCTGTGTGCATCTCTGCAGTTCTTGTGCTCTCCTGTACAAATAAACACACTAGTTTTACATATGGACAAATAAGTGTTTTGTTCAGGGTTATGCTTGAGCTACCCGGGATGTTTTCCTGACTGCTCTTCAGGACCTCCAGGAACAAATAGCTGTACAGAGCAGGAACATACTGTCTGACTTGCTTCTTGTATGAGAATATGCTCTGAATGTGGCTATACTTGGCAAGAAAGAAGCTGACTAGCTTTGGCTCTGTTTGCTGTAGTTTCTCTTGGACCTTCAGGAGCATTACTGAACCTACTGAGAACAATGAATTTGTTTCTTGCACAGTACCAGAGAGCAGCATACTTGCAAGCCTTGCCTTGCATAGTATAGGAAGTGGAGAAGGAATTAGGAATTAATCTGTGAAAGGATGGATTGTGGGTATACCACATCATTTGATGTAGAACAAGACATTTTATTTTTGGAACTATATCTACCTTATACTGGTGCACTTGTCTTCTTCCCATTCTTACCTGAACTCATTGACTATGGTACCTGAATTAACTCTCTTTGCCAAGTAGTCTTTGTCTTCCCTAAAATAAAACAATATCTATTCTTTATTCTAAGTGATTGACTAACACAGACTTTGAGAAGCTCTTTAGATAAGTGAAATGCCTTGCAGAATTATTCTGAATCTCTGAAGTCCTCATGTGTCCATGTGTTAAAACTCAAGATAATCATTGGCTATAGCTAATCTCAAATGACCTTACTAACAAGTCGTTGCTGTTCATCAAGTACATTGTGAAATCTCTGTAAGGTATTCAGAGTTACTTGTGAATAACATAACTTTCTAAGAAACAGCATGGTTTTAGCCGTTCAAGGGTAACATGAAGCCTTATTGTGTTTTCAGGTTAAGGACTTAGTCGTGTACCTTTGGCTACTGCTAAAGTATCATATAAGTTTAAGTTCCTTTGTGATACTAAAAACATGTTGCAGAGGACTTGGTGTTTAACCATGAGATGCCATCTGTTGAAGCTGACTGCAGCATATTTTCAGAAGATGTCTCAAGTATAGCATAATGATGCTCAACTGTAAACTCTTTTAAACTGTAAAACGGATCTTGTTTTGTTTGGGGGGATGTACTTGGAAGACTACCAGGTCTGAGCACTTGGTGGCTCTTTCGGTAGCATCATGCAAGTATGGGGAATACATGCTTTTAACCTAAATCTTATTTTCATCTGCTGCTGTAGATTTTTCTCAGGTCATTTAGTATGACAACTAGTTTTGTGTTCTGCTATTAACAGAGGGCAGTCAGGAAAAAGTTAAATTCATTTTTGTTGGACTTGCATGCTGAAACCTTTGGTTATGGTAGTACAAGCAAAGAACTTAGCTCAGCATATTGGTGAGCTTAACTTCTTTTTATCTTAAGTCTTTGCCTTAATGCACATATCCTGTACTCTTCTCATTTTTTACTTCATCTCTGTGTTCCAAACACTTCTTTTTGTATGAGATGTTTCTATGCACTTGCTTCTGTGCTTAGCATTGCTTTGTATATAAAGTGCGAAATCTAACTTTTCAGTCTGAGAAAACTGAGACAGGTAAGGAATATGGGACTGCTTTGAGGAGTAATACAGGGCAGAGGACAGTGCACTGTAATCTACAAGACCAGAGCAATCTTTCTAGGTAACTCTGAGGACACCTGTACTTCTGCTAGGTACTTTTGAGATTAAAATCTACAGTGTTATGTCTGTGTTTGAGGAGTTATCTGTAGATGATAATCTTGAGGTTAAAAATGTACCTTTGTCCAGGGAAAACAAAGCCCACGTTTCAAACTAGTACACAGGCATGGCAAGAATACTATTAAATCACTGAAGTCTGTCTCTTCACTAGGTTTAACCATGTAAAGTTTGAGCCATGTAATGGTGTTACTGTCTTGAACTTGGTGGGCCACTGAAATTACATTTGTATTTTGATTTCTTATCCTGTAGTCTTTACTTTGTTAATACACTTAACCATCCAAATCTGTATCAGACAACTAATTATAAAGTGAATACACAAGGCATGCTTTCACCCTGCTTGCTATGCTGTGTTAGTGAAGTCTTAACAGGATGTGTTTGCTATCATGTTGCAGCTGCTTGTAGTGTTACCAAACTGACTAGGCAGCTGGGTTAGAATTTGGCTATTGCCCAAATCAGTATTATGTCTATAAATAGGAGAATTCCATGAAAATACAGAAGTTACTCACCTTTCCCAAAGGACTGAATATGCTACTTCTATAATGTGGCTGGCCATAACAATCACAACAGTATAACAGAAGAAAGAAATTTGTACGTTTAAAACATGGGGACTAATAATTTTCAAATATGTTGTTTCTTACATGGGTTGGTTTTAATGGTGTATGTTATGTTTAGCCATATCCAGAAGATCCAGCAGTGTACAAACCACTCTCCCAGGAAGAGCTGCAAAGGATAAAAAATGAAAAGAAACAGAAACAAAATGAGAGGAAACAGAAGATATCAGAGAATCGCAAACATTTGGCCAGCGTACGGGTTGTACAGAAGAACCTTGTCTTCGTGGTAGGGCTATCTCAGCGCCTAGCAGATCCAGAGGTGAGCAGTTCACACTTGCAGACCCTGCCCTTAATTTACTGTCAAGGAACCATTGGAATACCCTTGTGCCCACCCTTTTGTGTCTCCCTGATGAGTACAAAATGAAGCAGCATTAGAAAAGTTTTACTGCTGCTGAGGCCCCTTCTTCTTAAGGGAACCTACACAGCTTCCTCCTCCAAAATAACCTCAATAAGTGTTTGTCTTTGCTTTTTGGGAGTATGGATGCTCTATTTGTTTATTAAGGAAGTTGTTCTTTGTTTAAAAATGGTTGGTTTGTTAAGATAAATAAGTTTAAGGATTTTTTTAGGTATTCATTTTCCTAGACTAGATCTGCTGGCAATATACAGCTGTGTCACGTACCACTAATTCTAATACAAAGTGTAGAACAAACCTGTAGGGACAGAAGAAAAAAGCCAACACTTTTAAGTGTAACTAGGAAGGAGCATAAGGGTGATGTCAGTTGAGAGGGGGGGAAAAAAATGAGGAAGACCCAGGAAAGGGTTGGCTTGCAGAACCATTTCATTTGAGAAAACTGATTTGTGTTTAAAATGTTTTACTTATCCCATGATCAGTCAGCTGCAGGTGGCTAATGGAATTAGTGCTAATGAGTAAAAGTGCCTTGAATTAGAATATGGAGGGAATGTACTACAGGATAAGATAGATGTCTTCAAAACTGCTGTGCCAAGTTAAATTCATCTAATCACACTAAATTGTCTGGAGAAATCTCATATAGAAGTGGTTGTTTCTGAGGACTCGCAGAGTATGGGCTGTGTGTTGGTAGACTTGGAAAGAACAAATGTAAAAAGCCTCTTTTAGTGGAGGGGAAAAAAGGGGAGATATGAAGGGAAGAGAAAATTCCAAAGTTAAACCCATCTGGCATATAACAGTCCAGTTCCTACGGGAATATAACAACAAGTATTTGCCAGCAACTGTCAACACTGTCTTGTGCTCTTTATTATCGAAAAATGCATTCGGTTTCTTTGACCAGATAGAGGATTTGTGAGTAAGAGAAATAATATTACATACAGTTAATTTTTTTTTTTAACCTTAGATAATTCCACACTGAATACTTGAAGTAATTAGAAGTGGGTTTATTGGTGTAGTAAGGGGCGGGGAGGGCTTACTTGGTTTGGTGGTAGCAGTATTCTCACTGACATACCAGAAGATCATGTGTACTTACTGAATAATTGCATATAGCACCAAGATGACATGATTTCGAAAAAAACTAGCCTGAAAGAGAAAGATAGGCTAAAAAAAAAATAAATATTCAATTTTAAGTTTTCCACTTAAGCAGGCAAAAAACTTCTGCACAAATAAAGATTATTTGGAAGGGCAGATTGACTGCTATTTGCTCTTTCTGGAAATAGATCTGTGGATCATAACAGAGTACAGATGGATTCACTTCTGTTGACATGCTCTTGTGAAAATTGTGAAGGCCATGCTGCCGTACTTATCAAAAGTGTAATCTTCAAAACACTTGAAGAAACTCTTCCATTTTACTCAGGATTGTCAGTCTCCTCTGGAATGATGTCTGAGGGTGGGTGTAGGATCTTTCAAGAGGGTGTAGATCAAGTGAAGAGCAGGCAAGAGAGACCAGTGAGTGACTGGTTGTCTATACAGTGTGCCCTGTAGTTCTGCAGGATGTTCTAAATGTGATTAATGCTTTTAGATCTTGAAGACGTTGATGCTCCCTTGAGAAGGGAGAAGAGGTGGTTAGGTGAAAAAGTTCTTGGATCATTACAGTTTAGCTGAACCATCCAGTGTTAATGTGAAGTTGGAGCTGGGGAAACAAATCTTCCTTTTTAACCTCTCAGGTTATTGTCTAGCATTAGAAATAACTTTAGCTTATCGAGCTTCAGTCTGAGTAGTCAGAACTTATGCACCCCTGTCCATCATGGGGATAGAAAAAGAAAGGCTTTTGGTACCAAATGTGTCAGATATGTTGCCGGTTCCACTGGCACACATGTAACAGTTATTCAACAGTTGCTTAATACGCTAGAGATGTTCTTGCTTTGTGCAGCATCCCTAAATGGTGTGTTATTACTAACTGATGCAGGGAAGGGAAAGATAGGATTTTGGGTTTGGTGGTTTTTTGGTTTTTTTTTTTTCTTCTTCAGGGAAGTGGTATTCACTCATTCATTTCAGCATGATGTTGATTCTGAAATGTTTTTTCTTGCCCCTGAGAAGTGTCATATATTGTCTTCCTGTACTTAGTCTGGTCTTCCGAAAACTTGAGTCTAAAGCTAATTGGTTTACTGTCTTTCTTTCTGGAGGGGGCAAGTGAGTCAGGATTCAGCATTGTTCCTAGCAGTCAATATATCTGAACTCAAGTTTGAAGTGGTTATTTATTTTAAAACTGGAATGAATGTAATTTTTTTTTTCCTCAAATTATAAAATATAAAATTATAAAATACGGGAATATTTCATGCTGAATAGGATGTATCTTGTCAGGGTAGGGTTTGGATAATCTGAGTATCGAAAAAAAATTTAAAAATACAACATAAAATGTGGCATATACCTCATTTAAGTTCTTTACTGCAGTAGCAACGTACTCTGTATTGCAAGTAACCATGTTTTATGTTGGAAAACAAATCTACATCTACATGCTCTCCTCTTCTTTGTAGAAGAGATCTGGGTTTTATTAGTTAAAGGCTTTTGTTGCACAGTTACACAGAAGAATAAATGCAGCCCTATATGAATTAATTCCCTAGTATACCACTTTAACTTTCTTTTCTTGTAGGTTTTGAAACGACCAGAATATTTTGGGAAGTTTGGTAAAATACATAAAGTTGTCATTAATAACAGCACATCATATGCAGGCTCACAGGTAAGTCAGAGGCCCTTGTGATTATTTTTTTTTTTTTTTTATTCCTTTAGAGAAAAATACATGTGTGCAGAGTGAATCTGGGGTTCCCTATTTCTGGTTAAGCAATAGGTTAAAGTAATAAAAAGAAAAAAACCACAGCATTGCAAAAATCAAATTACTGTTAGTTACTGAGGCACTGTCCAACTAGACTCTCAAAGTTAGATGCAAGACCCAGTGTAGAAAGATTAAAAACTGACAGACAGCATGAGAACCTTCAAAGAAGCAGCAATATGGCATTTGTTCACTCATCAGCATTTCAGGGCTAAAATACCTTTAAGTATTTTTAGAACTTTAAAGCAACACTTTGATGTATTTCTTCTTTCCCCCATTCTTTATGCATCACATGTAAATTTTTATGAAATCTACCATTTTTGTCAGTTTTCCTGTTTAAAAACATCTAGCCATGAATATACTAATTTATGAAGCGAGCTGCTGAAAAAGCAACTTAATGTTCAGATCTGTTGGGGGGTGGATTAAAAAAAATAAAATACGGTATGTTTCCTTTCTAGGGTCCAAGTGCCAGTGCATATGTAACCTACATCCGGTCAGAAGATGCTCTCAGAGCCATACAATGTGTCAATAATGTGGTGGTAGATGGCAGAACACTTAAGGTGGTAATATTTTTACATTCTTTTGTATATGTACTAGGACACTACTATAAGTGCATAGTATAAAATCTTATTTGTATGGATATGCTTGTGTTGAACAAAAACATCCAGTTTATTTGGGTATTGGGTTTTGACCTATTTTCCTAGCATTAATCACAACATGGAAGTTCAGTGAGCTTCCAGCAGACGATGTTTTAGGGGGTTAGCAGGTAACTTCTCAAAACAAAAGTCTGAGACAAAGAAAGAGATGTACCGCCTTCCCCTTCCCACAGTGGCTTTTTTGCTGTATAGCTTAATAGTGCAGTGTGAAGATCTGATTATTTGCTTTTACAGTGCATTTCTGTAGTCCAAACACCACACCTCTCAAAAGCTCCTTGGGAAATGCAAGTTTTTTCCTTTTGGTATCTGTGTAAACAGGTATTCAGGCTGACTCGGCCAAATTGGTGGCTGTAGAAAATCATGTAGCTAATATTCCTGACCCTGCTACAAAACATGAAGCAGTTTCATGTAATGCAAACTCATAACTACTTATTTGGCTTCTTAAGATTATGAATGCAAATATTTACTAAGGCTCTTATTTTGGCATTTATTTAGATTGGATGAAGATAGAATTACACTCTAATGATATAATCCTCAAGTATATAGATTTATTTATTACAAATGGACCTCCTAGTCCATCTGCATCAAATAATGCATTATGATGGAACTTTTTTGCAGATACAGCTTTTTTCTTATACTGTAAAAGGTATTCTTAACCTCCTGTACTTAAGTAACAATTTTTTTTTATTCAGGCATCATTAGGTACAACAAAATATTGCAGTTATTTTCTAAAAAATATGCAGTGTCCAAAACCAGACTGCATGTATCTACATGAGCTGGGAGATGAAGCAGCCAGTTTCACAAAAGAGGAAATGCAGGTAAGTGTAATGAATGGGAAACACATAAAATGTGGCATGTATGTATTTTATTTTGTCTAATATGTGCATAATGTAGCCTTTTACTGAACGTTATGGTAGAGATGAATTTTGAAATCCAAAAGGTGATTACCCAATTGGATATTGGAAGTGAACGATTAGTTAAATTTTTTTCATTGCATGTTGCTTTTAAAGGCTGAAAAGTCCACTGAGTGTTCATGCGTCAAAAAGATGGAGATAAACTCTTAGCCAAGAAATCAAATAACCTTGAGTTAGCTACTTGCCCTTTATTCATCCTAATGCAAGGTAACATATGTTATTTTAAATCTCTGTGAAAGAAATTAGTGCAGATTAGGGTTCTCCTGTAGGTTTTGTGTATGTGGCCAGTTATCATGGCTTAACTATTGTGCTGTGATTTGGCTCTGCTATCTGAATTCTGATATCCCTTTTAGCCTGGGAAGGGTATAGAAACCTTTTGGAAATAAAACATTGAGGGTAACTGTAGTAGAGCGTAAATACTGATGTGGGTATTTTTTATTATCTCAACATCAAAATGCTTATTGTCTAGGGTAGGGAAGGAAGTAAATGGATAGCTTTATTTTCTCAAAGGTGGTGCATTCTGAGGTCTTTTGGGTCTAGGTCTGTCCTTCTACATGAGGTATGGTAAAGCTTTTAAACTCAATCTCAAGTGTGCCAGCCTTGCATCTGTGCTGTAGTTTTTGTGTGTGGTCTGTCTGTGAAGCAGGTGGTCCACACCACTAGTGCTAGCACAAATGTTGTACAAATAGATTTTATTTCATGTGTTAGGCTGATGTAAGCCAGAGAATAAGGAAGAATGTTCATATGTATTAAACATTTTTTCCACAAATTAGCAGTTATTTCTGAGGATTTCAGCTATGTTTTCATAAATTAAAAAAATACCGTGCTGATTCAGATGAACACTCCCTGTAGTATATATTTTGTCACAGATAATGGCAATAGGAGGTAAAATTCAAGGAGAACTTGCAAACCAGGCCACCTTTCCTGTTCATTTCCCTGTATTTCTCCCACCACCTAGATCTGTTGTTATACATGTTTGAAGGTATGTTCCTGTCCAGGCTTTTTTGTTTGTTTGTTTTTGTTGTTTTTTTTCTATAGAGCTGTCAGCCATGAATTTATTTAATCCATTTTGAACCTGCTGATACTGTCAACTTTACAGTCGTTTATGGCAGCAAGCCCCAGAAGTTCACCAGCTGTTTTGTAAAGTTCTTTCTCCTGCCTGTATTAACCTGATCACCAGTTAGTTTTGTCAAGTGTCCCCTAATCTTAGCATTGTAGTACTTCTTGAAAACAAAACCCTTATTTGCCTTATCCATTTCCTTTGTGATGTTGTAAAACTTGATCTTATCTCTTGTAGCCTTCTCTCCAAATCACAGTTTCTGGGCTTCTAAACTTCTTTGTAAAGCAGTTCATCTCTTTCTGTGTTAATTTTTGTTGCCTTTCTCTGTATCTTCTAACTGTGTCCTCCTTGAGATGCTGAGGTCAGATGTGGGGAAAGCAAAGTTTAATATTAGCAGCACCCTTCCTAATAATGCCCAGCACAATTTTTGTGTTTGGTTGCCAGTGCATAATCTACTAACAATTAAGAGATGTGTTGGCAGTAACCTCAGTATCTCTTCTCTGAGCTGTAACAGCCAGTTCAGAGATCAATAGAATGTTAGCATGGTTTAGGCTACTTTTTCCTTGATGTGTTACCTGGCATGTCTCTTGTGAAGCTTATTTGCCTGTTTGCCAAGTTCTCTGGGGTTCTTTTGGAGTTCCTCATTATCAGTGTAGCAGTTTACTACCCAAAGGGCTTGGTATTGTCAGCAAAGAACTTGCTCTTCACTCCTTTCTCGTGAGTGCTGAATGTGTCACATAAAACTGATGCCAGTCATCAGTCCTCATTGCTTGCTTCTGCACCCTAAAAGAGTGAGCAGTTAAGTCTTACCTTTGCCTTTATATCTTTGAACCAGCTTCATTCCACTCAAGAACCTTTCCTTTATCTCAGGGCAGCTTTGTAAATGACTTCTGGTGTGAAACCTTATCAAAGGCTCTTTGGAAATTTTTGTGGATCCTCTTTATGTTTATTGACACTGTCATAAAATTCCATCATGGTAGTGAAGTAGGATTCCCTTTTACAGAAGGTGCTCAGGCTCATTCCCAGCAGCTTGTGTTTATCCATGAACTTCTACCTTTTTTTTTTTTTTTTTTTTTTTTTTTAAGATAGATTTTAAAATCTTATGAGGGATGGAGGTGGAACTCGGAAGTCTGTAGTTCACATGATCTTTTCTACAGCCCTTTTTGTAGAAGGCAATGACAATCTGTCAGTCCTCCCGCCTAATTGCTGGTTAAAATTGATAGGCTACATACCTTGGCCAGGAATTCAATTTCACATATGAGTTCTTTTGGAAGTCTTGAGTGGATGGTTCTTGATCTTGGTGACATAAATGAATCTTCCTTTCCTGTACCTTGTTAACATTCTTTAAACTTTCTTTTTGATTTCATATTGCTTTCTTGGAAATAATTGGAAATTACACAGCTATTGAAAAGTGCATTGTGCTTTCAGTGCACCAGCTTTCTGGAATTTGGGTTAGTGTCAAGGAATTTACAGGTCCATTTAATGAGATTGAATATTCATAGTCACACTTTGATTCTCTATTTAAAAAAAAAAATTGTCAATGGATGAACTTGCATTCTAGATTCAATAGAAGTTTGACCTCTAGATTGCTTTTTATAAATAAATCACGATTACTGCAAGCTCCTATATAGGATTTTAATCTTGTTTCTTGCTTATATTAATGTGACAGGTGAGTGAACTTAGGACTGGCCTGATGTTCCTGGCCCTGACATTCAGTCTTTTGCCACTGAAGTCTTAAAAAATATATATTATTAAACCAGTATTCATTCATTGTGAGTTTCTCTTTCTTTAGGCGGGTAAGCACCAGGAATATGAACAGAAACTACTGCAAGAATTATACAAACTAAACCCCAACTTTCTCCAATTATCTACGGGTACAGTTGACAAGAACAAGAACAAAGTGACAGCACTGCAGAGGTATGATGCGTAAGTACTGATGCTGGACTCCCTGGCTATTCTTGCTTTCTGATTATTCCTAAAGAAAACTTTCTTATTCCTGTTGTATCCCCAAAGTTGCCCGCTCGTTTTAGTGGCTGTTATATGATAAACTCTTATAGCTGTTTTCTCCATGTAGAGCTGTATGTGCCACTTTGTTCTAATACAAAGTGAGTGTGAGTCTTACTTGGTAAAGAAATGTTTCAACTGTGTGCAGCAGATTTGGATCACTAGTTCAGAATGAGGTATTCTTATTCTGAAAGAAGACCTTGCATTTTTATATTTGCATAAACACATACTATTTATTAAAGACCAGATGTCAGCTTTCTTGGTATGGTGTCACATTGAATGCAGTCTGTACTCTCACAACAGAGACACCTTACAGTCTCGATATGTGTTCTTTACTGTGGTTTTTTACATCATGATTTATAGTGCAGTCCTAACATTAGGTGTAAGGACCTTGGAAATTGAAATTAGAATTAGTTTGTTTCTTTTGTGTGAGTGAGTAAGAATTCACAAGATGTAAATAAAAGATTTCTTGCTTTCATCTAGTAAACTTAAATGATGTATTTTTCACTATGTTGTAATTGCAGATATCACTTATTACTGCTTAAAATAATATTCTGTTGAACTAGTTTGTTCATTAAGTTATGAAAAGACTTCGGTCATATGAATACATAGTCATACAAAGTTAAATGAAAGCCTGAGGTCATCAGACCTTCTGTGAATTGTCCACTCAAATGTCATGTTTAAGATAAAGAAATAAAAACTGTTAACAATTTCTTCCACTCCTTTTTGTAGGCTTTTCATAATGAGATGGGCAGAGTGGAATGTAAAAGTTAGATTGCACTTCGTATGCACCTTGGCCTTGTAATCTGGGTTTGTGTATCCACTACTGAATTCATCAGACAATAATTTGCTGCTGGCAGCATCACTGCATAACAGTTTAAGCAAGAAAGCAGAAATTGTTTCTAAAATATTGCCAATGGAGCTTGAATAAGCAGAATATAATTCTGAGAACTGGTATCCCAGCTAATGTACTGGGATTATCTTAACTTCTGGAGGAAGTGTAGTACGCTCTTTGACTGCAAGTGGTCAGGGCCTCCAGTTGGATCTTTTCTTAAGGATTGTGCCACTTCCTATTTCTTGGGCACTGGTTCAATATTGACTTGGAAGGTAAAGTGCAGTGAATAAAGCAAATGAACCACTTCCTGCATTTGGGTATTGTATTTTATGTTCAAAGTCTGAACTAATCTTAATTTGAAACCTAATTAGATCCCAGCAAAACAAATGATTCCAGCAAGGAAAGAATGCACTATCTGAAACTGCAACAAACTTTTAAGCCTTCAGAAAGCAATTATGAATTGGAGCTTGGCCAGTCTGTGGTGCTAACGTTTTGGCACTCGTGGAAAAAATGTCATGTTACTCTAAAGGCAACAAGTGGTCTGGAGTTAATTTCTCTTGTCAGCTGAACAGCATCATCACAACACAGACTCTGTTCTTTGCTAATGGCTAGGCACCACCTTTTGGGTTGCAAAGTGAATTTCTTCTTGCAGCTGGGATTTTGAAATGTTTCTTCGAGTCCCGTCTCGTCAGTACAAAATGTAGCTTGTGAGCTGGTGAATGTGTGTTGTTCTCCTTCACAACTTTCTACCCAATTGGGTTCTCATTTTTGTCTGAGTCATTGATACGATACTAATATTTCTGGCACTTTGTCAGAGCCTCTGACATGTGGTGGTTCTTCTGTTTCTGGGGTGCAGGATTTCTGTTTCACTCTGGAACTGAACAGAAGTTGAGTTTAAATAATAGATGTTTAAATACAAAAATCTAGTAGTAGAAAACATTTTCTTCAGCTGTGCATAAATGCTTTTTCACAATTGTGTTCTAATTTGAAAGGTCTTACGCTCAGACCTTTTTTCTTGCCACTGAAGGCGAATGTTAAAAATCTTCCAGTGCTACTTTGTATATGTGGGTACTCATCTCTTGGTATGTCACTTGATACTCACGGTGTCTGCATTCTCTTATAAGTAAAGGTGTATTCCATATTTAAAACAGATCAAGCTCTTTTTTTTTTTTTTTTCCTTTTTCTTTTCTTGATGACCTTTTCCTTTCTTATGCTACAAGTGGAAATACTTTTTAAATACTTGCTGGTCTTTTAGAGGACAGCCCTTTAGAAGCATGCAGCTTTAAACTTAACCAAAACAAAAAAAAACACATGCACAAAACCCACCCCAAAACATAAAACAGGTTATTTCTCTTTACCTTTTGGATGCAAAACTGACTAACTTTGACATTGTGAAGTTATTTTTAGTATAGAGATGGCTTTGTACTGCAGCAGACGTAAATTTCAATATTTAGAATAAATTTGTTACTGGGTTGAAAGTCTTGTTACATCTAGATTACAGCTCATTTTTATAAGGGTGAGAATATTAAATGACTGACATTGCGTTGATCATGTGTCTTCATTCCTTGATGTTCAATCTGATCAACTCGCCGTCTCTAACTTATTTCAAATGTGTACAAAGCAAAGATAAGATCTGTAAATCAGATCAAGGCTCTCACCCGTGTACGTATTGTATAGATATATGAGAAAAGATGGAGGTGGAATAGCAAATCTTACAATACTAACTGAGATTTGAGGGTAGCTAGTAATACCAATTTTATCTGAATAAGAGTAGGAAACACTTGTGTTGCTATAAGCAGCTATAGGAATTTCCATATTCTGACTGTGAACTTACTAAATTGACCTAGAGATGTAGAGAAAGTGTTGGACCATGTAATAAGAACATATTAATGAGCGGAGGCATCAAAAGGAACTTACATATTTTTAAAAAAAAATTTTTTTTAAAGCTTCTTCGTTATGAAGACGGCACTGGGACACTAAAAACAGCATCCTAACTGAAGCAAATGAAAAGCTAGAATTAATATAAAAGAACTGGAGAGCACAAAGGCAAATATTTTCTAGTTAGATTGTAGGGTTGGTGGATGATACTGTATTTGAATGCATTCAGTAAGATATTTCAGCACACTTCAATTTCTATAAAAAGTAAACATTTTCATCAAAAACTTGGGGTTTGAGTCCTCTCTTGAACTTATTTCAGAGTGCAAATTAGATCTGAAATGAAATTTCATGTTACTTTATAAAAGGGAAGTAATTATGGCTTTAAACTAGAAATAAAGGGAACAGCAACATGATTGAACAGTGTGTTGGTCTGACTGGTCTCATGGTCTTAGTAAAGCTGTGGAGTCTTGTGTAGGCATAAAACACAAATTTCATCTGTTGGGGCCAGGCTTGATAGGGTCTGGAATATAAAACATTAAAAAAAATGTGATTTAGTTCATGATTTACAGAACTCACAGATACTTATGGGATAAAGCAAGTAATTCTAGATGAGGTGTGTGTAGGTCTGGATACTTGAAGCTGTTGATGGATTTTTGTGGGGGTTTTGTTTTTGTTTTTTTTTCCCCCCTCTCCCCCAAATGAACAAGTTTGGACTTCAGCGTTGGCAGAACAGCTATCTGTTCAGTGAAGAAAACAGAATTTCCCCCAGTTTTCTGTCTTCCCTCCCTACCCCATTAATTCCTTTTTTAAGTCATCACCATTTAAAACCTGAGAAATAATATCCAGATAAATCTATTCTTATGGATTATCTGGCACAAGGATTCATTTCCCTGGTGCTTACAATTTTTAAAAACACTTTCTTCATAACTTGAACTCTTCTTTTTTTTTTTTCTTTTTCTTTTTTTTTTTTTTTTTTTACTCTTGCCTTTTTCCAGACCCAACAGTAATAACAAAGATGCCTGGCCATCATTACAGAGTTCAAGTAAATCAGCCAACGGTTTAACAATGGAACACAGGAAAACGCCTCCTATATTAGAAAATGGCACAGACCCAGAACACATGACTCCAGATGGTGCAGACTCAGATTTCGGGTAATTGTGCTGCCTTTTATACTTCAGATAGCTTGCTTTCTCTCTCACTGATTGGTGTGGAGGGAATGATTCTCCAGTCTCTCTCACTGGTTGGAGAGCTGGATTCAAATCCTGATCAGGTCACAAAAAGCTGGGCTTTGCCTAGCCTGTGTCAAAAACACTGATTGGCAAATTGTGCAGGAGAACCCTAATGTGGCGTTAGTAAGCGATGGTACAGGTAAGGGCTGAGGGGAATGCAATAACTGCAGGATCAACAGTGTATATAGCTGCATGGTCCCAGCCAGAGCTAAGCCCTTCATTTCTATACAGAAGCTTCCACAAGAGTAACATGCTAGTTGCTATACATCAGGAGGCTTGTCACTTGGAAAAGCTTCAACAGAACGAAGCTACATGATAGGGCTGAATATCTGTCATCTCTTTACAGTGTTGTGTTCCAGAAACACAGCTGCAGAGGTAAGGGTTCCCTGATTATCACTCAGAAACAGGAACACTAGGGCAGCAGATTCAACTGAGGGTTCTTTGTGCAGAAGAAGTAATTCATCTGCTTGCATTAACTTCCTTACTGCTAGCCTACTTTTTTTCCTCTTTTGGTGCCCTCCTTGAACAGAACTGGTATTTTCTTCCATCATAAGCATCACTTGCAGTTCTGATAGTAGTCTGTAGTCATGGAGTTTTGTTTTTTATGGACCCCCTTAGGTAATATCGGTTGGGCTCATTCAGAGATTGGATGGGAAAAGAATAAGGTAAACCCTAATATTTCAAGAAGTGGTGTTGCTGATTAGGTAGCTGATCTTAATTTTGAAACAATATTGAATGGATGCGTTAACATTGTGAGCGCTGTTGAAAGTGGTACCTTCTTGTTAGGCTTAATATCAGTCCTGTTGAGGTGTCGCCAGAGATCCTATGGTTGCATCTCAGTAGTGACATGCAGCTGCTTTCTTGGCCTTTCTGAAAAGAATGTACTAAATGTAGGTAAAAATATTGTAGCCAATTGATACTGAATCTTGTTCATTCCTGAGGGCTGGAAGCCTGTCTTACACTTAAAGGCTCCTTAGGCAGGTTCAAGTGTAATAAACATTTTCAGCACTTAAATTGTCCTTAAAAGTTGTCTTACATATAGCTTGTTAGACTACAGCATTGTGACTTTCTGTCAGCAGCTTTGGGAAAAGAATTTGGCTGGAATATCAGCTCTACAATCAGAATGACTCTGTAGTGAACAGTCTACAGAAAACTTTCGTGCTATAAGTGTTCAGAAATTATTAACCCAAGGCAGTCAGTTTCAAATGGAAGAACTTTATTCATGCTGTTCGACCACTGAGTAGGAAGTATTTGTAAATTTTCACTGGAGTAATCCTTGTTTGCAAGTATATTCCTCTGATTTTTCTTTTATAGTCATAAATACTTGAGCTTCGGTTATCTTTTTGAGATACCGACTCAGTGTTCTTTTGCACAAAAAGTGGTTTTGTTGATGGATTACTCTTACACAGTTTCTTTAAAATGGAGAAGAATTAATTCTGCTGGGTTTTGACTCTAGTTATTCTGGGATGGGGAGAACAAATATGGGGGCAAGTAGTCTTATAAATTTTTCACCTTGATATGTGATTCTGTGCAATATTTAAACTTTGCAGCAGCAAGGGGCATTTGAAAACAAGGTGTAGCTAGAATCTGATGTCTGCACCCAGTTAAAATAATTGCTATATATATATATAAAATTGTCTTGTGCTAACATATCATGCCTGTAATTTGACTTGAATCACATTATGGCCTCTTAATGGAACTGAAATTCATGTTCTTACTTCTGGTCCTTGTTTGTAGGACCGATGTTTTGGGCTGTGCAGCCTGATGCTTGTGCATCTTTTTATGGGTAGATAAAAATGAAAGTACCTTGAAGTTGTAAAGCAGAGATTTTAATCTGAACTTGAACTACCACTCTTTCGTTAGTGTCGTATTTAGCTTAATTAAGGCAGCTCACAGATGCCTGTCAGAATCTTGAATCCTGAGATGTGCCATTTCAGCCGAGTAATGTTAATTCCCAGTGAATAGCTTTCTGAGGTGGTTTTCTGCTGTATCTTATCTTTTATTCTCCTTACGTTTGTTGGCAGTTTTTATGCTATGTCTTTTCCTGCATTTTTCCCCTTCTGTCATCTCAAAACTCAGTTTTCTTACCTTGGAACTAATTTCTACTAGTTAAGCTTCTCACCAGCCTTCAAGCTTTAACTTGCCACCAGGACTAAATAGTTAATATTTTATTTCTCCCCAGATTTATTTAGGACTTGTATGGGAACTAACAACTTAGGTATTTGGAAAACAATTCTGTTCCCAAGTTTCTCTCCAGTAATAGCATTAATGGAACTGACTACTATGGAATACTGACATAATACAGGAGTCCTGGTTTTTTTGAATGGCATAGAGTTACTATGAACATGTTTAAAACTTTCCTTTTATTCCTTAACAGGGCAGTCAACAAGCAGAGTGGAGAGTGGTGGGAAGAAGTATGACAGTATATGGCAAATGATTGGAATGCTTATGATTAAAAAAAACCAGTCTCACAAATAATAAGTGGACTTTTTTCCTTTTTAATTCCTCCTAATTCATTTTGCTTTGTCTTTATTTCAAGGCTTTTCTACCACTACGAAAGCAAATGTTGGTTTTCACACTAAATACTCAAGTGTCTTATTGTTTCTTTTCTCCTCCCACTTTTGCAGCCCTATCGACAAACCTTCAGATTCCCTCAGTATAGGAAATGGTGACAGCTCCCAGCAGGTAAGACATAAAGATATAAATGCTGTGAAATTAAGAATTGAGTTCTTGTAGCTGGAGAAGCAAGTACTTTCTGAAGTATCATAATTTTAAACAAAACTAAAAAATGCTACTGCTAAATTGATTTTTGTTTGACCTTGTACTGAGCTGTATATTAACTAACCGAATTGCAGTCAGAAGTTTTGAGGAAATTTTTCAACTGTATTAGTGAAGAATATTTAATATATAAACACACATCCTAACGATTTCTCTTCCTCTCTTGCCTGTAGATAACAAACAGTGACACACCTTCACCACCGCCTGGTTTAACAAAACCTAATCCAGTCATACCCATCAGTTCATCTAATCACAGTGCACGGTCTCCTTTTGAAGGGGCTGTAACAGAATCACAGTCGCTCTTCTCTGACAACTTTCGGCACCCTAACCCCATCCCTAGTGGGCTTCCTCCATTCCCCAGCTCTCCACAGACTTCAAATGACTGGCCCACAGCACCAGAACCACAGAGCCTCTTCACATCAGGTATGTACACTGGTTACATGGCTGGGTGTTGCTTGCTTTTGCAACTGGTAGCTAAAACTGTTTAGAACCAAAAACTGTATGACTTGCTCCATACTGGTTTTTCCCCCTTCACAAATGATTAAAATTTGTCACTTAACTACAAATGAATTGCACTGATGTAAGGGTTTCTTCTAAAAGAAACTTTACCAAGTTTTTCAGCTGCATGGCTAAATTATCAGTGTGTTTATTTTTGTTTTTCTTAGCCATGTGCCTGTCTAAATAATAGGATGTTGGCATATATGCTTAATATTTAATGTTGCAGGTTTTTGTTGAGTGGGGAAAATATGTGGTGCCAGTATGTGTTGGTGTAATGATCTGTTAGAATCTATAATTTTAACATCAGAAGCTGTGCAGTGGAATTCAGAATTTTCTTTAGTATCCTGCATAGTTATCTAAAGATGCCTAATCTTTCTGAAGTGATATTATATACATTCAGAAAAAAAAAAAATATGGTTAATTGCATCAACTGAAAGATACCTGTATTTTCCTGTGAAATACCACTTCATATGAATGAAACATCATTTTAGGTGTATTTATATAGTCTTGGGAGTGGTTAACAGTATTTAAGAGCTCACAAATTATAAATCTGAGGGAGGAGTTAGAAAAGTAAATGAAACAATATCAGTAATACGTAGAATGTAAACACGTTGGACACAGTTGGTTTACTTAGTGATTAGTCTTCTTTTGATCTCTATCTGACTTCTGGATGTCATAATCCTGTTTGTAAACAATATTTATTACCAAGGAAATTACCTGCTTCTAAGGTACTATACACAGCAATTTTGTGAGGATTAAGTAGCAGTGAGAGACAATTTCCAGGTAGTAGAGATCTTGTTTGTTTCATAATTGATATGAAATGTATGGTTGCTATTTAAATAAGAATATAAAGGACAAGTTCTTATCTGTCTACTAACTCTTTTTATCTATCATTATGAATTTTAGTGAAAATAAATGTGTAGATTTCTTTTCTAAGAGTGGATACCAAGCTTAATTTTAACTACTTAAAGCAGCAGACCAGGTTCCCTACCAGCAGAGGGAGTTAATGTTGTGAGTGATACTACCTTGTACTCATCAGCTTGCATTACCACAGTTTTGAGGAAAAATACTGTGAAACTAGACCCAGCATTCACTGAACATGAATAAGAAACTTAGTGTCATGAAATGAAGTAGTAATTGAAAATGCAGAGAAATTCTGATAACCATTTTTTGCAACACTGCCTCAAAATGTTTAACAATATCTTGTAATGCGGTTCCTTTTGTTTTATCAAGGTGTCTACTCAAGAATTTGGCTTGTTTTTCTTCATAATGGTAGACAGTTGGGGTTTGTGTTTTGATTTTTTTTTTTAACCACTGCTCAGAGGTTCCCCCTTTGAGAGGGAACGTCTCCCCACCTTTCTTGCACAGCAGAGCTGAAGCACAGCTTTAATACTGAAAGCAAAATACTGAACTGAATAACAACCTTATTTAAACTCTGCTTGGTCACACTTCCATCAAGTAATATGGGTGTAAAGAAGGTTTGAAGCAAGTGTTTATTCATCTCTTTCTGCTTAGTGCTATTACTGAAAATACTTATTTGATAAGGCTTTTCTGTAGTTCAGGAACAGAGCAATTCTGCAGTAAAAATACTATTTGCTAGTTCTACCACTTCACCTTACGTAGAAATCTATGACAGTTTGATCTAAAAATGGCATTCTAAGTTGATGAATAAGGTATCTTTGGGGAATGTATAAAGAAGTATCCTATGAAAGATAACTGGCAACATAAATTCAGATACATTGAGGCTGAAATTTTTGTATGGATAAATACTTACTAATTCTTGTTCTAAATCCTGTTCCTCTCCAACAGAAACTATACCAGTATCCTCCTCCACAGACTGGCAAGCGGCTTTTGGGTTTGGTTCCTCCAAACAGCAAGAGGACGACTTAGGGTTTGACCCCTTTGACATCACCCGCAAAGCCTTAGCAGACCTGATTGAGAAGGAACTGTCAGTCCAAGACCAACCTTCCCTCTCGCCCACATCTCTTCAGAACCCTACCCCACACACTACAACTGCCAAAGGGCCAGGCTCTGGATTCCTGCATCCTGCTGCACCCACAAATGCCAACTCTCTCAGTAGCACCTTTCCAGTCATGCCACAGAGGTTCCCACAGTTTCAACAGCATCGAGCAGTTTACAACTCCTTCAGTTTTCCAGGCCAAGCAGCTCGCTATCCTTGGATGGCCTTCCCACGCAATAGCATCATGCACTTGAACCACACAGCAAATCCCACCTCAAATAGTAATTTCTTGGACTTGAATCTCCCACCACAACACAGCACAGGTCTGGGAGGGATCCCTATATCAGGTAGGTGAATCGGGACTGCCATGAATAAGACTTAATTCATGCTTTCAGCTTCTCTGAGCAAGGACAGGAAAAGGGAATAGCCAGCTACAAGTGATAGAACATTATCTCTTGACTGTTAGACTAGGTTTATGAACAGAGGGAGGAATATTGTTTTAAATAGGCCCTTTCCATTAAAAAAAAATTATCTGGATGTTTAGCCTTGTAATATTGAGCTTTATAAGGAAGGTGGAGTATTCTGTGCCCGCTTAATTTTGTGCCAAAGCAGATTGGTATTTTGATTCTTCAGTCTTGCCAGACTGGCTTTCTGTAAGAGTAGGCCCTGGAAGCGCATTACAACTTCCGCATCGACATGCAGGTGCTGACCAGAGTTCTTAAAATTGTGCAAAAAAATTGACGGTAATTTGTGCCAGATGTCTTGGCTGGGTTGTTCCCTCTTGCGCATAACCAAATGGCTGCACAATAAAACATTCAGTGCTGTTCATTTCTGTACTTCAGATGGCCTTAATATTATGCTAATTTTCACTGAATGGATGCTTGCAGTGTGTGTAAGAGGATTCATCCTGATTGCGAGGGTTGTGATGTTGGAGGAAAATAAATGTGCAGTCAGGCCAGTTCAGGCTGCCCTGAATGGATTGATAGGCTATTGCAGCAAACATTACAATTAAGGAGCTAATTGCAACGATAACTGTCTTGATTAAAAATTCACTCCTGGAGTTTGAAGTCCTTCCATGCTTCTGATTTAGCTTGGCCCAAACAGGTTCTCTTCTCCTAACAGGGAAAAAAATTGTATTAAGTGTATAATGAACTGCAGGTAGAAAGTCTCTGTAAGCCCTCTGTAGCCTTGAGATGGAGAAAACTGCTTCTTGAGATGTTGCCAGTGTTGTTTTCTTTTTGTTGGTTTTGAGAAGTGCTAGCTATATTATAAGAAAGTGACCTAGAAAAAGTCACTGTGTGTTTTTGATGCTCTAGTACAAGAGCTAATTTTGGCTGTTACTTCCCTGCACTTTGTCCTCTGAAGGCTTGTCGAAACTACAGTACTGCTGTAGGGTCCTTAGGCTGATTCATAGTATAAACACTTGGTCCAGACTACAAATGCAAGTAGTTCAAAACTCTTTATCCTGGCAGTGGGAAAGTTTTTAGATGAAAATGACTGATACTGGTTACAGTGAAGTGTAAAAAGGGAAAAAAAAAAAATTTGACATGGAGTCAAAAATGCAGCATCCATAGCACTGCAAATTGTTTCTCACTTTCCCCTAAACTACACAGAACTTCCAGGAACATTGCAAGACATCAAGTTTCGATTTACCACTCAGTTCTAAAAACTGAGTGCTAGTTCAAGGGGTCAGTAACAAGGCTATCTTCTGGACTGGGAGGACCAGAAAAATCCTTTAGTGTTGGAAAAAGATCTGTTTGTAGTACAGGTTGATTCTAGGTTTGTGAAAGTATTCTTTAAATTGCATTACTTCAGTTGCCTCTGGCAGTTTGAAAGTGGACGTCTTTCTAGAAGACTCATAGATCCTTGGTATGACTCCTGAAGAGCCAGTTGTGTGGTGTTGGTTGATGCACAGCCTATGCCGTGTACTTCCCCCATATGTTTTAAAGCAAGAGAGTTGATATTTAAATGCATCCTTTTTTGTATCCAACTGCTAGAACCAATCAATCTCAAAATATTTTTGGCAGATACAATGCTAAAAACAGAAAATAAACATCTGCTGTAGTCTCTATGGAAAGTTCCTTTGAGTTGGTCTTAATCTCTTGTTATAGAAAACATTGTTAGTTGCCTGGCTGACAATTAGATAGCAGCAGTTGCTGCAGTGCAAACACTTCTCAGCCAATCTACGTGTCAGCTTTGATACATCTTGAAAAAAGAATCATTTGCACAAACATGGATTACTCCTTTTTCTTTTCCTGTTGTCAGAAATCAGCTGGAGTCTCAGATAGTTCTGGTTTTGTTTGCTGGGTTATGGATTTGTATGGTATTTAGTGCCTAGGGTTTTTTTTAGTGATCTAACTCTTTTCAGAAGTACAAATAATTTGAAAGTCAGGAGATGCCCTCGTACCTCTTTTTTTGTGTGCTGACTTAATAGTTTCCAATTTATTGATTATCCTGTCTTTTCAAATCCGTATCTAGTGTACCGGTCTCTCAATGAATTCCTTTTATATTCTTTTTGAAATAATAATTCCTGTTCTTTATGCTTGCTTCTAATCTATCAGTAGCAGGCTATCTATATACCTATATAATTACAGAATTTTCCTAGTTTCCTCATTTGATTTACAGATTCAGCTGTCGGGCTGGGGAAGGAAAATGGTGTACAAGTACAGAGAAAAGATGTCGATGGGACTTTGTTACACTGCTTTATAACAGACTCTAGCTGACCTGCTAGAAAGGAACTGCATATCATAATAGCTGTTTAGCAGTATAGAGAGTTGTAGTACACTTGAAAGCTCCTTTTTGTTAGCTCTCTTGTTAATCTGTGTTAGGGTGTTGGTAGAAAATGTCATCAACTCAGCTGTTTCAGATGTAACAGCAACAGGAACCGAGTGCAGGTTGAACTTCACATGCTGTCTTCTAGCAGAGACACTCAACTGCTGTCAAAGTTGTTTGTTTATTAAGGCCTCGAATCACAATTTTTTTACAGGAGTATAAATTTCTAAAGCAGATAATACTGGACCAGTCATAAAAAAAAAAAAAAACCAAAACCACACACACCAAACTAACAAAAACCCATTCACTTATTCTGTGCATTTGCCTGCTCTATTTAATCAATGTTTTTCAACTTTTCTATTTCGTTTATGTGAAAACAAGCAGATCTAAAAACTTCTGTAACTTCATATGAAGTTAGTGTACTATTTTCTAGGCTTTCTAAATGCAATTTTAGTTGATTTCACGATTGGAAGTCTGTATCTTTTAAACTGCTGCTGCCTCCACTTTAGGTAGGCATCAGTATTCACATAAATTTGAAATGCTCATGTGTGACATGTTAAATATAATGTTCTGAAGCTACCTTTTGTTTAGTCGAGAATCAGAACTGTGCTGTATTCATAACCCCACAGCTCCAGGTAGGGTTGTTTTATGTTGTGCACCAGACTTAAATGGAGGGACAGAGGCACTACATACATTTTAATATTTTTTCTTTTTTTGCTCTCATTTTAAAATAATTTCTGTATGGAATTTGGTAGCCTATTTCTCAGAGGAAGTAGCATTTATTAAAGTCATTCTGCAGTTTCCAGTGAAATGACACAATAACACATGATTGACTTCATAATTTTATTATGCATATACTTGAAATGTGTCATATTCATCAGGCATACATTTGTCCCCAGCCCATATTTAAATGAACATTTGATTGATTCCCAAACTACCTTTTTTTTTTCTGCCCCCACCATATGATTTTTGCAAACCATAGCAGATGTTGTATGTTCTCATTGTAAGGGACAATTTAGGCTTGTTGCTGTTCTCTGGCGTGGGATGGATTAGACTATTTACTGTGTAACTGTAATTGTGCTTCAGGAGAAAAGTTCAGTGACTTTTTGTTCATGGACAGCATGATTGTTGCTAAAAGCAATCTTACCCTAGATTGTGTGCAAGCTACCCTAAGAATATAGGACAGCGGCTATCCTTTATTCCCCAGATAATGCCAAAGGACCGATCCACTGACAGCAACATGGGTGGGTGTGTGCCTTTAGTTTTATGTTACTTCAGGATAAGAGGAAACTCTTTGTAATTTGATAGCTAATACGCTATCATCTTTGCTACTCTACTGCCTGGTGGTGTGCTCTAAAATAAGGATAGTATTGGGTCAGAGTAAAGTAGATCTCAGATTAACAGTGTGATTTGAGACAGATGCTTGTAAAATGAGATGCATGCATATTAATAATGGGAAAATAGAAATACATAGTTTTATTTCTTGAGTTTATTGAGTGGTTGGCAGTCCTTGATTTTATTACATAGAAAAAGTATAAGAAAAAATGCACACAGTTAAAAGCAGGAGAAAAAGTTTTAAATGGTTAGTCTGCCTTTCCCTCCTTGCACTTTCCCTCCTTGCAGTTCTATGCAAGATGAAGTACTTGACATTTTGAAACACTGGCCATTATTTCATATATTAATTTCATAATTATCCTGAACATAATTACAAATGAGAAGAAAACTTAATTGTAAGAACTTATCAGTTTAATAATAATGAGAGAGTTTGAAATTTGAACTCTTCCAAGACTAACATTATGCAATATTGTGTGTATATTCTTCCCCCATAAATCATTGAAACCCCTTGAGTTGGAAGGGACCCGCAAAGATCATCGAGTCCAACTCCTGACTCCACACAGGGCAGCCTAAAAATTAAACCATACGTCTCAGAGCATTGTCCCCAAATGCTTCTTGAACACAGACAAGCGATTTATGTATATTGTGTATATATTGGAAATCTAAGGTAAAGGAAATAGTCAAGTGGACACAGAGACAGATAGGAAGCATGAAGAATTAAACCCTGTTTAGGGTAGGGGAAGAAAAAAAAGTTTTACCTGTTGTCCTTGAAGATAACCACTGTAAAACCTATGAAGTTATTTTAGCTATGAAGCCCATTGATGTGGAGATTACGGTAGACTTCTGTGAACTGTTTCTGAAACTTCAAAACAGAGGGCTTGAATGCCATAAGTGACTATAATTGACAAATCAAAATTTTGTTCTCTCAAGACTTACTTTGTTTTGATGTTGTGGCTTATATCTCTTGAATACGCACAGCCTAACTGGTGGAATTATATATATATAGTTAAAGATGAGATTGAGACAATAAATAGGTAGATAGTTCTATTAAATTTGGGTGCCATCCTGCAGTCTTCAGGGTAGTGGTGTTAAATCCTTTATCAAGACGCTGATTAGCGTGCACATTTTTGAGTCTTGCCTGCATTTAGGTTTCTGTGAAGCAATAGCTGGTAACAGGGAGGGCAAAGCAATGAACATTAAGAAGGTCTAACTTCTTCCCACTTTAAGTCCTGAGCTATTC